CTCGCATTCTACGCGAAAACTCTTGTTCCGAAATCAATTGCGAGAATAGACGAACGATCCAAACATTGTCCCCCCCCATCGAGTTTCGTGCTTGCTCATAGGGCAGACTCTTCTTTTCTTGCTGACTGATTCGACGACAGTAGATAAGTTTGTGAAATAAAAACAGCTGTTTCGCGATACGCTTCGCTATTGCTTGGTATCAGACGTTACGGGTATTACGTGTCGCGGATGTATATGCCGTTGTATTTTTATACACATAGCCACGGGAATGAAAATAAATTAGAGGCTTACAGTCTCCTCGAAAAGTTCGCATCGTTCAGAATGTGTTATTGTTCATCACCGAATTCGACTAACGCGTTATTGCTTTACTTTTCAAACCGACCGTAACTTATACATTAAGAACCTTATCGGACTAAAGACAGAATAAAAAATGTACTACTCTACGTTTTCATTCACAGCGCACATTATAAAGGCATACGTATATGCAGTTTACGCATCGACAATTATTCAGTTGCGCGAGAAACGTATGAATGATTCGCGAAAGAAATTGTTTGCAAAGCTTCGAGCGCGTAATCGAAAGGCGGATGGAGGCAGACAAGTGGATAACTTTATATTATATAATACCGTTCGAGTGTTGTCTTACTCTTCAATCTTTTTTTATTTTCCTCTGTTTTTGTTTCTTGGACAAAAGTTGTATTAAAATTATCGTCTGCACGATAACAACCGCAGATGCCCGCGAGTATGTATGTGTATAATGTTGTGTATGCATGTGTACGTCTGTATATGAGTGTATATACAATTTTACACGTATAAAGTTATCAAAAGGACGAATTAAGGCGAGCTCGAGTCTGAACAGGACGAGTTGCTTCCCTTCCGTCGCGCGCTGTGGTGGTGTCTTCGGGATGGTGTTCGCGATCGGGATCTATGTTTCGACGAGGACTTCTTGCTTTTCTTCGATCGATGGGATCGGGAACTGCTGGGGCTGTCATGGCTGCTGGAATGTCAACAGAAGCGAGCACAGAACAAATTAGCGAAAAAGATAACAGCACTGACACGTTGATTGTTCGCGCGAGCTATATATGGGTCGCGGAAGCTTGGACTCAGAGTCTGACTCATATATGGGTCAGGGGTCTGTGAAATTCATTATTGCTTACAAGAACTACGGACGTATTAATATTCAATAAACTAGAGATCGTATAAAGTATAATCAAACCGAAGTGAATCGGATTCTCGGAACTATATCTACATATCTTCTGTCAGTAGAGTTTTCATTTAATAAGCTGCATTTGCTTTTCTCTTAATTGAACGCCCAAAATTTGCATAGGCTTCCTAAAGTCTACTAAATAACAGAAAAGCACAAGTATGTAAACATATCTCAATATTTGGAAATCAAACAATAGAAGTGAAATACCTTCTGTGAGTACTTTTCTTTTTCTTGTGTTTCTTGTGATACTTTTGCCGATCGCTGTGACTTCGACTTCCGTCGGGACTTCTCGATCGTGGTCTAGATCTTTTACCAGTGAAGTCAGCACTCTTCAATCTGTCCATCAACGAGTTGCCGCCCGTTTTCGAGTCGCACGGCTTCCCATCGTCGAACGACGGAGAAGGAGTTGGCGATGGTACGGAATGCACTTCATCAGAGTCGTCTTTCCGCGCGGACTGAACGGTCATTCCACTCGTTTTCGATAACACGGAAGACTGTATTTGGCTTAAGAACGCAGCTGCTTTCTTTTTCCTCTCTAACTGCAACTGTCTTTCCCTGGATGTGGCGGCTAGCTTGTCTCTTGCCGCCGCGACCAATTTATCTTTGATTCTGTCCTCGGCCTGTTTATGTCTGATCTCTTTTTGGCAATCTTCTAGAATCTCATCTGTAAGATCCACCAATTCCTTCTCCTCGTTCCTCGATTTCTTCTCCGACTTCCAGGAATCTTTATCTACGCCGGGACCAAAATTCTGTTCATTGACATTCTGCGGCGAGCTTGGCTTTGAGTTAGTGTCTTTGTTCTCGTTTTCCATCTCGTCGTCACTCTCCTCCAATGGGAGAGCGTTCCGCTTTTCAATCACTCCGGTTTCCCCATCTTTTGGTTTCTTAATTGAAAATGATACTGTGGTGATCTGTTTAGTGCCCGGCGTGATCTGCTTCGCTCTCGTATCGCACTTCTTCTTTGCCTGAATCATCTTCACTCTTTTTTGCACCTCCTCCATTCGTTGCTGCTTTTTCTGGAGCTCCTCTAACTTTTTCTGTTTCTCCTCCAGCGGTTCCTGCTTCTGCAACAGCTCCTCCTCCGTCAGTACCTTTGGATTTATAGCACCCTCGTATATTGTCAGCTTGTGCGCGTAATAGCCGTGATACTGATGCGACAGTTCGAGAAAATTGAATCTCGGATCGCCTTTATTTTTCACGATCGCCTCGAAGTCTCTGCCATTTTTCGCCACGTAACTAGCCATTTTATCAATAACTATCTGAACGTCTGCTGGAGGCACGATGAATGACGGTCTACTTAATTGTTTTTGCGGTGTAGATCCGTATGGGACCAACGGCGAAGGTGGTTCAATTGTCGACGCATGAGTTACAGTTACGTCGGTTGCAGATGGTGGTACATTTATAACTGAAAGCTGACCAGGAGACTGTATTTGGCCATTTGGCCCATATGCCACGGGACCGTGAGAGTACTGCACGGGTGTCGGGTAAGGACTGTAGCCCTGTAAAAAATAAAATGTGCATTTACCCAGGAGCGCTTGAATTAATTATATATCAATCACGTTTATAGTTGAAATATTAGAACCAGTGCCGAGTAGACCATCTCAATTATTGCAGTAAGCTTATAAATATTACTTGATATTAATTATAGAGTATTTATCATTTTAATTACCGTTTGATATATTTTTTTCGAATATATACATTTTTCCGAAAACAACTTACTTGTCCAGGTATCGGATGATAATATCCGAGAGTAGGAGCCGGTGGTTGAACAGGTGTTTCAGGCGGTTGCGGAATCTTCGAGGGTGGAGGTTTCCCTGTGATTTTATTTACCAGCATCGAATACGCACAGTCAGCAGATGGTTTGTATTGTATACTGGGAATACTGGGCGCCTGTAAATTCAATTTACATTTGATTATAACTGACACATATAAACTACATGATCTAAATACTCCTAAGTAACATAAGCACATACCGCTTCTATCTTGGTGAAAGATGGTGCCAGACTTGGATGTAGATACGATTCGTCATCCTGATCCGACGATCCTTCTTCGTGTTCTATCATTGAAAAGAATACATGTAAATATAACATGCCCGTGTACAATCGCTAATGCTTCCTACGTATCACACAAAGATCGATGTACATTAACAAATATACGTAGAAGTACTTACGGCAAGAAAAACTAAGTAGAATTCAAAGTAGATGTGGGTAATCAAATCCTGTTTTAAGTCGCTTCAATCATTTCAACTCGATAATATCAAAGTGAACAACATTACTATAAAATGTTGTCTTAAATAAAACAATATGCGTACCGGATTCTTCTTTCTCAGGCTGCTTTTCAGGATTGTACTTTCCGCTCTTGATCGCGTCCAGTATGTATCTGTAATACGGGTGAAGGCGTCCGTCTATCGACAAAAACGAAAACTGCGGATTGTTTGCCTGCTTCGCTTTAATCAAGATCTCCATTTGGCCCCCTTGACGACTTATGAACAATGCCGTTTTTGTTATGATAGCGTTTAATTTCTGTGTTTCCGGCTATTAAAGAACAGAATATAAATTATAAAAAATCCTCATTTTTCTTGGTCTCATTAATTATCGATCTAGTACTTACCAATGGAATACCGTCTGGAATTTCTAGATCGGATGGTGGAACGAATGCCTGATCCTCTTCTTGAGAACCCTCCGATTGTTTTGGACTTTGAGAATCTTCACATGCAATTTTCGAACCGTTTCCTTCCTCGTTGTAATTATACGCTACCTGGCTATACGTGTTTTCTGAATCCAATGCTTGATGCAGCCTTTTCATTTCCTCCTCTAAAAAATTGTTCGATATCATGTTAAATTCTTGAAACATCTATGACTTATCTTCATATTCCATCAATTTACCATGGTATAAAGAATCTTCCATGTCGTCGTTGAAAAGAGATCGATACCGTTCTTCATCGCATAGTTGTTCCACTTTAAGCTCTTCCTCCGTAAGGATTGTACGCTGATCAAACCCACCTGATGGTGGTTCATATATCCTTAAGTCCCCCAGAGCACCACGTCCATCGTATCTATACACATATAATAACCGAATTAAGGGAAGAAAATGACAAGTGTCTTTTAGAATTTATTTGGTTGATCTCGGCATCTGAAAGTTATGTCACGAAGCAAACCCTGTGCCATTCCTCTGAAATAGAATACAGTTATACAAAACTCTATGACATACTATTACATTTGCCATGTTTATCTTTGCATTATTCATTATAGGCACATGTCCATAACTAAAAAGTATACAGGAGAGTATATTTGAAGCATTGGTGGGCTAAATGATAATAACAGTTCAATACTTCCAAGTTTTTAAAGAATATTAGCAGATATTGTAATGACTACGTCATGAAGTTTTGGTGTAACCCAGACACTGTGTACTGAATCTCAAATAATATTTGTTGCTATCTAAAGCACTCGTTTTTAACAAATGTACTTTGAATGAATTTAATATACATTATAATTTCGTGATATGTTTTGCTCGACAAAGCTACGCTTGTCATAAACAATATGAAACGCGTTGAGTGCCTATGCCGCGCACAGCCGAATCTAAAACGCTAATACATACCATGCTGAGCGATTGTAGTACCTACAATCGTCAGCGGCCGTTTGTCTCTCTACGCTGTGTCTCACCTTGCTGCTGCGCCGACGGTCAGCCGTAAGCACCAATGTCGCGAGAGCACTTGCTCTACGGACGTGTAGAGCGCATATACCGCGCTTCCACACCGCCTGTTCACAGCCAAGACACCTGCAGAAACCTTAAACAGTCTCCAGATTGCTTATCCATACGTAAACCATTCATGGTAGTGTTTTTTTTGAACTGCTGCACATTTGCTCAGACTGTTCGGACATCAGTTCTTCTAAAGGTTACATGTACGGTGCGTTTATGCAAGAATTAAATATCCTAGATGATAAAGTTTGTCTAGGTTAGGGAAACGGACCTGTCTATTTTCAACGTGTTATCGCCCATCCATGGTATCAAATGCTTTCCTTGATCAATCATTTTCGCCTTGTCATCATCTCGAAATAATTTGCAGCTATATCCAAACACCAACAGCTCCTGCGGCTCCTCTTCTCCATTCTTTTTACGTAGGATCCCCGAATCAACCATCCAACGCTGACTTTTCGATGCCGCCATTTTCCAACTACTAAAGTCTTTACGTCTCTCACCTTGTATACAAGAAACAGCCAACAAAGCTGGGATTATGTAAAACTAGATATAGAACAGTGACATAAGTTTATAAAAGTTTGTTTCCATGTATGTAATAAAATTGTTAATTGTTATAAATATACATAGTCGCAAATTAAAATAAATATCGATATTCACATATCAATGAAAACTATATTTTTGTAATATTATATTCCTAAATGTTACTTCTCTTATTTAATTGTAAACACTGTACAAATTTGTTGGCATTAATCATATAAAGTATTAGGATAAAGAAAGAGCCTGAATTTTGATTGACTGAAGGAGACAATAATTTAGATACGAATAATTTACATTGTTAATGTATATTGCATATTTTTTTTAATTATTATTATCTTTGACATACACGGCGTTATGTCCAATCAAAATGTGTATTAACTCTTTCTTTCTTGTTTACCTTCCTGAAAGTATACTTCAATTGCCATTGGTCAACTTTCAAACATAGTACGAAAACGTTTCTCGTAGATTTCACCAATCCACGAAAAGCATTCTTGTGGGAAAGTATTTAAAACGAAAATGTTAACGGTTTGTCGTTGAAAGTTAGCAGTATACAATCAGTGCAGAATATTTATTTTGGATCAGTTCTTTAAGAGTTTGTGTAATATATGTAATAACCATTAATTTATTAGTTTGTATGTCTTAGCTACATTCTTGAAATCGAAGGTAAGAATCTGAAAAGAATTATCAAACGGTTAATAATTTATGTCTTAGCTTTTTTCGTTATCTACGAACAGTGTTTGTATTTTAAGAATATGTACATAGAAAGTCAAATAAAAGAAAACAAATTACTTTGTTGTTCCTTATTATGTTCCGTTGTAAATGATTTTTAATATTCAATACCATTTGCTTCACCAAACAATGTTTATTGAAACATTAATAATTTATAAATTGAAAAAATAATAAAAATAATCAATAATTTTTTTATTGATACAGATGGATGACACATTAGATTCTATTAGACCATCTTGTGATGTAAATCCACAAGCAGAAATGTCATATTTATTTGGAAGAGACCCAAGTATCTTAGCCTATGGACAAAGACCATGTATTTCAAAAGAGACAAAAAAAAATTTAATGTCTGTCTATGAGGCTGAAGAATGTTATTCCTTGGAAGAGAATGGTACAATAAATTCAGAATCACAGTCATTCCAGACTGTTAAAGTATATTTGAGGATGAAGCCATTTCCAAAAAACTTGAAACTGTCTCAAGATCAACAGAATGCATTTCAAATTACTAGTTCTGATACTTTGTTAACAAAATTACCTTCTTTAGAGAATAATGCCAGTTACATTAAGGGTATCAGTGGTACTAATACTATATGTAGAAAATTTACATTTACTCGTACATTTGGACCAGAGACTACTCAGTTAGAACTATTTGAACAAGCTGTTAAACAGCACATGGAAGATTTCTTAGCTGGCCAAAATTCAACTATCATGACTTATGGTAAAAATATATTTCAATTATTAAAATTAAATTAAGATATTTTTAAACATTGTTTATACTTATAATTTATTAGTTATTCAAAGGGTTCTTATATTTTGGACTTTAAAATGTAAGAGAACAAATATAATACTTTTTTTTTAATGGTTACTAATTCATGTGATTATTTCATAGGTACAACTAATTCAGGGAAATCATATACATTACAAGGTACTACAACATCTCCTGGTATCATACCAAGATGCCTAGAATTTGTTTTCTCAAATATTACACCAAAATCGACTCCCTTTTATAAACCAGTGAATCATTGCAATGTTGTTCATTTGAACCCTGTTGAACGTGCTCAAGAATTAGAAATGAAAACAAAATTATTAACGTATGCTTCAATGGATAAACATCACTACATCAATACCTACAAAGAAATGCAAAAACTATTGCAAGAAGAATCACCGAGTCGACCTAGTCAATGCAATGATGTGCACTGCTCTGTTTGGGTATCTTTTGCTGAAATTTATAATGAAGTTGTATATGATCTTTTATCTAACGAGATTCAGAAAAAAAGGATACCTCTGAAATTGGCTACAGACTCACGGGGTAGAGCATTTATCAAAGGCTTAAAAACAGTGTGTGTCAACTCGGGTTCTGAAGCTTACCAGGTTTTGATGGCTGGACAATATAATTTGAAAGTAGCTGCAACTGCTTTAAATGCAAAGAGCTCAAGATCACATTGCATATTCACCATTAAATTATTGAAGTATTATACTGAACACGATCCAGACAATGTTGAAGTTAGCACGTATGTGAATAATATTTTTCTTTAGTAGTAGATTTTAATAGACCATTCAGTAGATTTTCAATAATAAATTTCATTATGTATAATTTTCCTTTTAAACGTTGTAGGTTTGCTTTCTGCGATTTAGCTGGCTCAGAACGTTTAAAAAAGACACTAAACATTGGAGACAGATTAAAAGAAGCGCAAAACATTAATACAAGTCTATTGGTATTAGGAAGATGTTTAAAAACAATTCATGATGGTCAGTTATCTAAACAGAAAATAGAACATGTAGGTCCATTTAGAGAATCAAAACTAACGAGACTTTTCCAAAAAGCACTTTCTGGTAAAGAACATATAGCTTTGATAGTAAATATTAATCCTTTACCAAACTTGTATGTTGAAACCCAAAATGTTTTGAATTTTTCTGCTATTGCAAAGAAAATAGTTATAGAACCAAAAGAGAAAATATATAAGAAGAAGTCAAGATTTTCACAAATAGTTGCACAAAGTATAAAAACAGAGACTGATTGGGATGCTACAGAATTAGGAAGTGAAGGTATTTGTGTAGTTAAACTTATTAAAATTATCTGTACTTTTCAAATTTCTTTATACTAAATGTACTTTTATTGTACCTTCACAGAATGGCACAATAATGGTCATAGTATATCTGGTTATGTTCATGCTGAAGTTTATGATGATTTAATGATAGAAAATGAAAGGCTGAAAAAAGAAATTGCTACTTTGAAGAGTTCTGCATTAAGTAGGGATTTACAGATACGCCAAGAAATGGCTGATACTTATACAACTATAATGAAAGAACTTGAAACCGAGTGGAAGTATGTGATCAGTTGCAACGATTCATAGAACTAATTTATCATATTATTTCTTATAACTTATTTTCATAATTATTATATTTTATATATAATATTATTAATTATAATCTAGGAATCGCATAAAGGATGTCGAAGAACAACAAGAAGATATGCTTCAATGGTCTGTCAAACAAGTTGAAGATTTCTATAAGCGTAAGTTAGATCAACTTAGCAGTTGTAAAAGAAAACGTCCATCGCTTGAAGAGAACGATGCTAACGATTCAAGAAACATAGAAGAGCTGGAAATGCAAAATTCCCGTATGAAATCGAAGATAGTATTGCTCAAAAATAATATAAAAGAAACTAAAGAATTGAATCAATCGTTAACAGTTGAAAAAAATAAACTAAGTTTTGAATTGAGCTTGATGAAAGACGATTTAAACAGCGTAAAGAATTTATTGAATGAAGCTCAGAAAGATGTTTGTTCAGATGAAGATAAAACATGTTATGTAGAGGAATTAAAATCGCAATTATTTGCTAAACAAGAACAAGTGAAGGTGCTTAAAATTATTTGTAATTACTTATAATGTTTTCAACGTATACTTTTATGTTACAATGATATTATTGCAGAAATTAAAAGTGTTCTTAAATGAGGCCAAGGAAGAGTACATTGCTATCACCACGGAAGTGAGGGAGAAAGAATACACCATCAAAGAACAAGAAGAAGAATTACTTGAAAAACAGGAAACAATAGATGAGTTAGAAACAGATTATGGAAATTTGAGTATTCAGTTAATAGAAAAGACTAATGCGGTGGAGGTGTTGGATGAAAAATTAAAAAGTCAGAATATAGAACTGATGAATTATGAAAATAAAGTGCAAGATATGCTAGAACAAATAGACAAATTGAAGAGTGAGAAATTACTACTACTGGATGAAATTCAATTACTAAAGAAGACAATTTCGACTGAAAATATTACGCAAGACTTGAAACGTGAAAGTGATGTATGTAAAGTGTATTTATAATTTATATTATTGATAATTATAACTTATAGTATTTATTTCTATCTGATAGGTATTTAAAAATGATCAGAATACTTCAAAAGATGACAAAAGTCAAGAAATCACGGTGACAGTGGAAGTTTCTACTAATAACAAGATAGAAACATTAAATAAATCAACCGAAATTTATGAGAATATAGGTATGTATAATGATACCTACTTAGCAGTCGCAGAAAAGTTTCAGCTCGTAACTATTAACTGATGAGTACCAATATATAAGATTTAAATCAATATTATTATAATACAATAATTGTCATATAACCAATTACTTATTCAACAGTACATTTGACTACTGACGCTCAAATTGAAGAAAAACTAATTGCTGTGGAATTAGAGAATTCAGGTCTGAAAGAGAAATTAACTCAAAGTACAGTTGAGATACAAAGTTTGAAAGAAGAACTGGATTTAGCTAAAATCAAATTAACGAATCTGTCTAATCAAATAAACAGTTTGCAAATTAACACCAGAGAAGCTAAAGTTAAAAATGAGGAATCTGTTCAGCATAAAGTTGAAGTAGAAACAACAGAGACAGGATGCCAAGTGTACATTAAGTCTGAAGAAAAACAAGTAGAAGATAACGAAAACGAAGTTCGCGATAAAAGCAGTCAAACTGTTGAAAATACTACAAATGAAGAAATTACACAAACAAGCTTTGTGGAATTCGATGATTCTGACCTCGTTTTGGATGAGCTAAGCAAACTAACAGTAAAATACGATGATCTGAAGACACAGCTGAAGGAAAAATGTCAAGTATGACATTATATATTAATATATCATATTAATATTAATTTTTACATGTTTCTAATAAGTTTATTATATTCAAGATGCTAGAAGATTTACAACAAGAAATATCATCTGTAAAGCAAAAATTAAAGAGTGCCTTGGAAGAAAGTAATACAAACACAGTTGAATTGTTACAAAATGAACTTTCTCTTCTTAAAGATGGCAAAATGCATCTTGAGCAAGCATTGAAAGATAGTGATAATAATAAGGCGACATTGGAGACAAAGATTAGTGATTACGAGCAACGAGTGAATAAAACTGAACAGGAACTTTTAGATGCTAAAATTGATTACAATCAGTGTGTAGAAGTATGTAGTTTGTTGCTATTTCGATTTTATATAATTATACAATATATATTACACAGTTTTATGATTTCTTAAAAATATATTTGCTATTTGCAGAAATTGAATGCTTTACAAACAGAATTTAATAATCATGTTTCAAAGGTAAGAAAACATAATAATATGTATAAAAACATCATATATGTTTAATGATTACGATTTTCAGTGTAAAAACGAACACGAAGAAACAATAAATAAATTACAAATTGATCTCAGCAATGCAATAGAAAAGAGCGATATTAAGGCAAAGGTATTTTAATGAATTAATATAAAATCCGTAGAACGTATTAATTTATTCTACTACATTTTGTACTTTTTTTAGTGCTTAGATGTTCATGCCGCAAGAATTATGGAATTGGAGCACAATCTCGGTACTGTAACAGAGCTTGAAAAACAAATTGAAGAGCTGAATAAAAATTTAGAAATGTGTCAGGATGAAAAAGAACATTTACAAAATCTATTGGACGAAAATAATGATAAACTTTTAGACCTTGAGGATCGCTTAGAAAGTGCAAAAGAGATGGAACGAGAAAAAGATGCCGAAATAATGTCCCTTCAAACAGGTTAGAGAGATATTGATTGTCGAATAAATGATTATACATATTATTTCTCTAGTAAAAATATTAAGATATTAATTGTTATGGTTTCAGGAATGAAGTGTGAACTTCAAAGAAACAATAAATACGATAAAGACGATAAAGATGATAAAGACTATAAGGACGATAAACTAATGGAGATAGAGATGAAAAATACTATTAGAGATTTAATGGAAACACAAGAGAACCTTTGTAAAAAAGAAAAATATATTAACGAGTTAGAAATGCGTGTGAAGACATCCGAGGAAAACGTTAAAATGTTAGAGTTGTTGCAACAAAGTGCTCAAGAGAGGCAGGCAGAAATCGACAGGTTAAGGACCATAAACGAAGAATTAAAGAATAGTCTAACTGAAAATGAGCATGAAATGAAAACCTTTATGAAAAATAGAGATAAGATGGTCGCAAAGTACGAGACTCTTGTAAAGAATCAACAAGAGGAATTGGAGAGACAAAGACGATTGGTACTTACTTACTAAATTCTTTAAGAAAATTGATGGTGCATTTTACTTAATAATTCTTCATTTTCAGATAACAAAGAATCAGTCTAAGGAAAAAGATTACAGTGAAAATACGTCTGAAGATGAAGTGGTACTAAAAGAACGCAGACTAAGGCGGCCGCCAAAGAAATATTCTCCTACATCAGATGATATATCAGTAATAGAGCTTCCCAATTCAGAGACCAAGTATGAATGTGAACATTATATCCATTAGTAGTACAGGATTTGATTAACTATCGAAGAATATTATTTGATTTTAGAAAAAATAATAAATGTGCTATATTTCCACCTCCTACGGAGCCAATTTCGGAAAGGAAAAGAAACACTCGCAAGAAGAAGTTATTCGTAACAGAAGATGAATTTGTTCAAGATATTGAACCAATGGAGGTAAATTTGTGTAATTGTTGCATGATCTATTATAAATTATAAATATTTGGTATCTTTTTCAGATTACGGTAGCAAGTACACCATCAACTCTGAAATCTCGTAGTTTGAGAACCAGACGAAAATGATTGATTGTAAATAAAACATATCAATTCAGAATCATGGAAAGCGAAAAGTAAAGTATGGTGTCCGTGATAATATTTATAGAAAACAGTACTAATTGTAAGCAAGATACGCTTTCTGTGATATTTTTGTACCAAACTTATTATTGGGTGTCCTATAACTTCAAACATAGTGTAAGGTTAACGATGAAACAGTATTTATGTACATATCTTTCAATCGTAGTTATTATTGAAAATAATGTATTTTTTAAGCATTGCGTTATTTCCTTATCCATGTCATCTGTTTTATGAAATGTAAAAACATGAAAAGTAATTTAAAGTGGTATTTGTACGGAATGATTGTTCACACGCATTATAGATTTTGTAATTTAATGTCATAGAAATTAAAAGTAAGAAATAAAAGTAGACAAATATTTTTATATCAATAGTTTATGTATTTCCTTCACTAATCAATAGCTTATCGCATTATTTTTGCGCGAAGTTCTATTACCTTTTACCTTGTGGTTTATATCCATTTGAAGAGTGCGTTGCAATCAATAATTTCTATGTTGATAAAGTAGTTTAATTCAATCTCGACAGTCCATACATGTTAGTTAAGTAGGAAATGGTACTCATCTAGTTACCGTTAGATGGTCATCATATGTACGTCACGTGGCGACCTCTACAACGTAGTCAAAATTAACTTCTGCATCGAGGATGATTATAAAAACTCATTTGACATAAGAAATATTAATACTTTATTCAAATCATCGAGAATGATCTATGTGCAATTGCAATTCACATAAATAATTACTATTCAAAAACTGAATAAGTGCAAATAAAACCATTTATAATCTTATTGTATACCTAATAAATTATTTTCCATATCTACCCATAGGTACTGTACGTTACTCACATTAGTCAAGCCGACCTGTGACTTAAAAGTGAAGAGGAGCAAGGGGTGACGCCTACTCGCGGCGCACTGTCCAATACTAATGGCGGTATTAGTTTCGGTACGTCTTTGTTATTGGCCGAGCCGCGAGCTGAGGTGGAAACGTGCGGCTGAGTCCCCTTTCCCCTCTACCCCTTTCAGGCGCTCGCCGGCTTGACTAATGTGAGTAATGTACAATATAGTCCTCCTCCCACGTTAGCTAAACCGACCTAAGGTTTAAAAGTGCACAGGGACAAGGGGACTCTACCACTCACGATGCTCGAATTTTGTTTTTTATTGTTACGCCTCACTTCATCGCATTTGATCTCGCTTCTGTCCTTTGTATTGCCGCGCAACAATAATGACTATGAGTCGAAATTTGAAGTGGGGCAAGCATCGTGAGTGAAAGAGTCCCCTTGTCTCTGTGCATTTTTATACCTACGGTCGGCTTGGCTAACGCGAGAGCAGAATTTACGCCATAAAAAAATTATTTCTACATTTAATCTAGATTTGATCGTTAACAACATTTATGACTAGTTTCATGTCGTAATGTTGAACATATAAAAGTTCAAGCGCTGGCTCGCTTTTTTTACAAGCAAAAGGTAAAGCCATTAATCACAAATAAAACTGATTACGTCTTTTTAAGCGAACAACGTATTTCCGTTGAAAAATGTCATGAGAGAAGCTTAAAACTTTGGTAAAAATGATTATGATTTACGTCGGACATTCTGTATTAAATATTTATTAATTCCGTTTTAAGTGTCAGCGCGTGCTCGATTCGTTGGGCAGCCATCGCAAATATTTACACAGGCTTCGAAAGAGGGTCGGAACCACCAATTCACGTAGGGTTCTTCTAATGCAACCCCCGCATTTAGAAGCGTGTACTCGTAGATGTTCGATACACGTGGCATACCTCACTACCAACTTACCATTTGCAAGATTAACGATCTCGACGCTTCCATGGTATTGCCTTTGGGTAGTCGCAGGTCGGTTTTCCGTTCCTTTTCTTGCTTTCATCCCCTATCCCATTTCGGAATTTTCCAACCGTGTACATAAATTCAAGGGACACTGCACCCCTATCAAGAAAAAACCCCAAAACAATCAACAGTTCAAGGGGCTGAAACTTTCCATGCTGTTTAGTATGGTCGATTACGTTAAAAATAATGCATTTTATTTGCAAAAGGTATTTCGCGAAAATACTAACAACCCTTGACATTTTAACGTCCTACTGCTCACGTCTACTTTAATTCTAGCCTGACATTTATGTTTACTCCGAAATCGTGGTCACGAATAAGACTTGTCAAAGTAATGCACGAGGTTAAGAGATTACTCATAAGTCACGAACGAAATCACGAGTATAAGTGATGTGATGAGGAAAAAATTGATTTGTATTCTTCTTATACACTGTCTCAAACATTTCAACCGTCCGTATTGTCATCTCTCAGCGAACGGTGCCTAGTCAGAAGGAGCGAAAGCAGGTAGCAAAGCAAAGGGAAGGAAAGGGTGTTGTCAACTGGGGTAGATATTAGTGGACCTGCCACTTGGTAGAAGAGGTCGATTGTTGGGTTTTTCACCCCTTCGTCTTTCTGATGGTGATTCAAAACCGCGCGCCTGGAATTCGTTTAATTTCGCGGAGAGAAGGTCGCAAGAATGACAGCTCCGCGATCGCGGGTAAAACAAAAGACAGGCCGGGCGAATATTAAAAATACAACACAGGCTGTCCGGTTTTGTTCGTGGCCATTATGTAACACGTAGGAAGCGAGTCGACTGCGTGTCCCCGTGTCCACCTTTTAATTCCGGAACATTTCCGCTCGACGTTCTCGGTTGACGGTAATTAACCACAATTCATCCAGCTATAATGCCTGATCTATCCGTGTGGATCGCGGGCATTTATCAGCCGCGATTAATCGAAGCTTTTCAAGAACGACCGAGTACGAAACGCAATGGAACGGCGAGGTTTACATTGGCAGAGGGCTCCGGTCATTAATAACCGATACCGAGAGCCTCGTTCCTGTCCCGCGTTAATTCGACGTATCGAATCGAACGACACACCGGCGCTCGTTAATCTTCTTCCCCAATCCGTCACTCGAAGCGATTTATTTAAGGAACGAATGCACGTGTCTATACGTTGTCTCTCGCTCTTTCCTTCTCTCTTCCCTCGCTTTATTAGGCTTCTTTCTGACTCGCGCAAAAGCGAACGCTCCGGCTAAACTTAATTAATGCGCGATCAGCACCGGCGACCGCGACTGTATCACCGATGAAATATCACCGCGCGAAACGAACGAACATCGAGGACATTCCGTCGACATTTCTTTCTGCGCTCGTGGAAAAGTATTTTCTATCCGATCCCGCGCGTAGGACGTCGCCATTTAATTCCCAGCTAAGAGCGTTCATGATGGATCGCTAATTTACGAACCAGAGATCGTGCGATAACTTTGAATTCGTTTTCACTGACGCTCAAGCTTAAGACGATGCAATGCGATTGGTACTAAGTAACCTACGAAATTTCCATATATAAACATATGAATAAAGAAATAACGAAATGTAAAGATTGGTGTCGCGTCATTCCATTTAGAATAGAGGTACCGAAGGATGATAGCTTTACTAAGCTAAAAGCAATTTGATTTTTTTAAATATTCTGCACAAGAATAATACGTTTTCCATATTTTATGAGTCAGGATGCTCACTCTAGTCAAGAGAAAATGATCAGTAGTATTAGCATTTTCCGGTGCAACTTTCACGGAGTAACAACTCGATCAGCGGAATGGTGAGCGGCTCCAGAGGGGTCGCGCGGTGGCCGGTCGTTCGAAGTTTTATTAGATCCGGAATGGTTAATGAACGCCTCGAGGAGCTCGAATTTTCCGAAAGTTCCGATGCCGCGGCGCGCCGGTATCGCTCCTATTACCGAAAGGTTAACTGCGCGAGGATTTTAGAACGCGGCTATAAATACGTGTAATAAAGCGCGCGATCATTAATCTTCGACGGTAATTTCGGTTTGCAGTGGCGACATTCGCCGTCTCTTTTCCTCTCCTTACCCCTCCCTAGCCGCGCACAGGCGTCCCTTTCCGCCCTCCGCTGTTCTTCCCCCTGAGCCAGCGTCTGTCCCGCTCGTTCTCGCACTTTCTACGATAATTAATGATCCTAAAAGCGATCTACTCACGGTTGTCTCGTTTCGGGGCAATCCTTCTCCGTCTCTCGCGTTCGCCACCGCCCCCGTTCCCAGTCCTCCTCCGTTCATCTTAGTCCTCCTCCACGTCGGGCTCGGTTGCGCGGATTAAAGCGGTCCCACTTAATTGCAACCCCGAGATCGTGATGCATCGCGGGAATCTCGTGGATCGCGATAACGCCGGCGAGAAGTCCTGTCGGTAACGCTGGAAAGACCGACAAACACCTCTGAGATTCACTTCTGTGTGGGTATTCAATCATGCACCTGAACGTTATTAATAAGGTTGTTGTTTCCCGCAGATTCTGTATCCCCGATGAGTCCAACCAACACTGAGTTTCAAAGGAATTGTTCGAAGGAAACTATCGATTACAATAAGGAAAGATTCGAAATGATCGGATTGGCATTTATTCAGCTTTTTATTTAGACTCTTCTGGAAACATTAACGAAAAAAGCAAATTTTTGTTTCATTCGAATTTGGAAAGTTCTAGATCATGCGACGAAACTTAATAGTTAGCGACACATTTTACAGCATTACTCAGAACGTAACGCATCTGTATCGAAGGGGTTAACCCATTTTCATCATTCACAGTTGTTTCGAACCGAAATCGCAACGCACTTCCATCAATAGTGAAGGATTAGTGCTGAACGTGCCAAGGTGTTCGGAAGAGCTTGAAAGGGGAACACGAAAGGATTTGCATAGACGGTCCAGGTGCCGTGACGTCTTCGGCTGGTCTTCGCAGCCGTCGATCTCTAATTATCTGGAAACAGGGAAGAGCCGACTCTCGCCCTCTCCCTCTCTACTTTCTCTCCGGTTTACGCGCCAGAATGAACGAATATTTTCATGACAATCGAGCGTAAGCAACGAACACTGGGTAGATGGTCGTCAGGCATTATCTCACCTTGGCTAATTCCTTGAGCGCAAGTTCCATCGGGCTCACCGAACCAATCCCGATCCATCGGGCAACTGTTCGCTGTTGCTTCTCCCTCTCTCTCTTTTTTCGCTGCTGGTGAATACGGAAGAAACGAAAGCTGGAATTTCCGGTTGATTCGGTACGCTAACGATGGGGTGGTTTAACACCCTATGGGGACCACGGGAGGACCTAACGCGCGCGCTGCGGACCCCATTGTCAACCTTTTACCGCAATCTGCTCGCCGATTTGCACAATAATGGACACGCACCGTCGAACACCAAATTAGCGGAGAGAATCCGTTGAATCGGTCGCCGCTGCGTTTACGCGGCCGCGCGTCTCCACAACCACCCCGATTCCGATCGGACTGGTTGAGTATGCGGTCGATTTTGCTGTTGAATTCGCGTGGTTTTCTGTT